TACCGTATCGCACGTTCACCAGCTCACTGTATTAACTGAGGGCAGGTGGGGAACTGCTGTAGCACCCATTAACAACATCCACGACACAGGCTGGAAAGTTTCTCCAACAAGGTCTGACAACTCCTGACATTCACAGTGACACTAAACGAGCCTCTTGGATGACTTTGTATTTACAGCACTGCCGTTAATAAAACTCTCTCCTAATTCTGTAAACCTGTCATCTTTCGCTTGAAGAATCAAAGGGTTTCTGCTCTACAGAAAGACACTTTTCATTTGCACTACTAAAAAAAACCAGACCAACACAGTATTTTTCCCAAAATCCTTTTTTTCCATCACAAAGATGCAGTCACAATGAAATCTCATAAACCCTTTTTTCTCCCTTTGCAGACCACCTTTAAGGAAGGTATCTTGTGGGTGAGACACAGGGCACTGTCAGGAGGGTGAGAACTAGAAAAAAGCACAAAAGATTTGGCAGGGACTTACTGGTACAAATTGTGTCAAAGTGCAGTGGTCATCGGACATAAACTAGAATTGGTCAGTCACCAATCCTACTGAAGAGCAATTGCAGACTGGGCACAGTTTGGCAGCAAAAAACTTCAAGAGAAGTACTCCGGTAAGTGGAAAGCTCTGTCTGACATTCATAAGGTACTATATCTCATATCACTTACTACAAAGCCATCCAACATCCCTAATGCTTCTGGCAAGAAACATTGCAGGAACTCTGACCGAGCATCATTTATTTTAGTTCACTCAAAGCATTTTATGTTGTAAATGTTCCCAAGACTGGCAAGGCTGAGTAGCCTGCATAAGGACAAAACAACCCTGCTCGAAAAGAAAGAGAGAATGATCATGACCTTGGTTTAGTCAGATATTCCCCCCAACACCAGCTGTGGCAAAGCCTCCCCCAGACCAACACAACAGCAGCACCACCCCTAAAGAAACAAACATGCTGTTGTCCCACTTATTGTCCCACCAGATTGGAGTTACTTACACGCTGCTGTCTGTCAGCGACATCGTATCGGCATCACTGGACATGCTCTGCTGCTCGCTGTCATTGGCACTGGTCGCTGGTGCCAAAGCATAGCCCGTGTTGACATAGTAAGGGTTAACAGGCTCCCTCCACGACCCATGCCTGCAAGAAAAATGAGAGAGTCAAATTAGGAGGACACAACCTTGACCATACTCTGCACCACTAGGCATACAGGCTCTGCCTGGAGCCCCAGCATCAGTGACAGGCTACAGAATAAGCTGTGTTCATACTAAGTTGCGCTGATAGAACCATGAAAAATTTGACTTATAACTGGAAGCAAAAGAGAATTCATGGAGTAATGAAGATGATAGTGTTAGAGGTGAATAAGGGAGGGAACAAGACTATATGGAAGAAGTATAGCTCCCATCAGGATTTATGGTGTCCATGGGCTAACTGCTTAGCATTGTCATTCTATGAGTAAGGCAGGACATCTAAAAGCAACACCTGGATAAGACGACAGCATTTTTTTTAGTCAAAACAGGCTTCTGCTCTTCCAACAGAGAGGCATGTGTAGCCCGGCTTACCCATTCTATGCTTGCTTTTACATCCCTCTTTACTGCAACATGTTTGCCAAGGGAGGGAGGTAAAGCAAGAAATGGCTCTTGCTTACAACGCAGTACCTAAAGCTGACCTCAAATGTCACGCTCAGGTACATCAAACACTTGCAAATCCCACCAGGAAGGACCATCTAATCACACCGGCTTTTCCAGTGGACAACCTGCTCACGGATCTGGGGAGGCTAGTTTGTATGCAACCACATGCCTTGTCCTGCAGGCAGGTTACTCAAGTACCTGTGCAAGCAGGCCAACCTCCTTCTCTTCCACAAAATGACAGGAAGAGAGACCGCCTGCATGAGCTGACTTGGGAAGCGAGTTCCTTGCTCAGGAGGAGACCTGCATTAACGGTGAAGCAGCCTGTGAAACAAGCAGGCAACAGCTCCTTCACACTGGCTCTGCCACTGGCATAGAAAAGCTCCTGCTGCCAATGTACCTCCAGCTCTCCTACACCGCAGGACAGTCAGGCCACGCAGGCATCTTGTTGTCACTGCAAGTCAATTCGCAATTTGCCAGAAGGAGGAACAAGCTGAAGTGTTCACAGCAACACAGCATCATTTAACCCCCACTCTCCCTGCCTACCCCTCTGCATGAAGAGCAGTGTTTGTAAGAGATCTTGAAGTTGATGAATTCCTGGGTTTTCCAAGCTCTGTTACCAGCTCTGAAAATCAGAGTCCTGTTTTAATTCAGATCACAAAGCTCATCAGCACGATCTTTTATTTAGTAATTCAGTAACCAGCACCAAGTTGATGTGGTTTGCAATGGACCTTGAACAAACACCTCCAGGGAGGACAAATCACGCAATTTGTGCTTCCCCATTCTGCCACGAAAAGATTTTCTGCCTGTACGGCAGTGGTCAAAGTCCTACAGACAACAGAAAACAGTCCCTGCCCTGATGAGTTTACATGTAGATAAGACAAGGAAACCTATTAGAAATGCAGAGATGGAAGGACCAGAGGTGGAAAAGACACCAGCAAAGGGAAAAGTTGGCAGTTTCTGCATATTTGTACAGAGTATAAACAGGACAGCCACTACATGAACTGGGACTAGCAGACAAGCCATTTAGGGTGGAGGTTTTCAGAATGATTTATGTATAATATGGTACTCTGTGTACAAGGATGGAAGCATTACCGAAGTGTTTTAAAACCTGAATTCAACAGGGCTATAGCCTTCAGGTAACACACTGCTCATATAGCTCCTATGCACCCTGCCCTTTTGCTCGTAGACACCGAACCAGTTTTCCTTGTAATACAAGGGGCCATGGATATTCATCGGTCACTAAGAAAAATCATATTGTTTTAGGTCCATTATGGGGTCAGTTAGAAACAAATTATGCTTCTATTCTCAAAGATAAAACTAGTATCTTGCTTGCCACAAACCAACAAAAACTCCAAGCCATTTCTCCTTGAACGACGAGGCTCAGTATAGGTACAGAGCTTTGCAAAGACCATTCAAAACTGAGTCAGCTGAGGTTTTTCACAACTGTTTGAGGAAAAGGGAGCCTTGCGAGGTTTCTCCACACTCGGATGCAATACAAAGTCAGTTGGGTACAAATGCTTATGGGCGCCTTGGGATGGCGAGTAACCACTGACATCTTCTAGCACACAAACTTCCTGTCTGTCACTGTAAATGTGCACTTGAGCAACCTTATTTCTATATTCCATCAGATTTCAGAACAGCTTTCTAGGGCAAATATTTAAGGCTGGAAACAATTTGAACAAGGTCACTCTAAAAAGCAAGGTATAATAAGCGAAAACCTTACCAGCCCCCCTTCACCAGTTCTCCTCTTGCATAATGGTCAGTTCTGAACATTAAAGGAGTGCTGTGCAGTGCAACCCTCCTGTCAAATCTGATGTGACAGTTGTGTGATGGAGGCTGATACAACCTCTTAAATTGAGGCTGGAATGACAGAGAGTTGAGGCCTTCCCTGCGGGCAAAGAGAAGGATGCTTTCTGGATAACCCAATTAAAATATAGCACCAACTTCTAGTGGACCTTCTGCCAGGACTCTCTGGAAGAGGCATGGATTATTCTAGCAGTATATTAAGAAAGCACTATGATATACAGAATAAAACGCACAGATCAATCAATTTCTCCTTTGTATCTGCTGATACAAAGACAGAGCAGCAGAGAGAATCTGAAGAGTTCATTGGGTATGGATCTAAGATGGCTTAAGGAATCAAGAGCAAGCAGATGGGTGCTGGGTGGTCTCTGGCCCCTCTGGAGGAGTTGGGATGGACAGGCTCTCCTGCAGCACTCCACAGCTGTGGCTTTCCCACTGAGGATGCAGGCAAGAGTTTGGTCACAACTGTTGTATTTAGCTAAAATTACACACTTCAGCATGTATACAACAGGGATTACTTCCATTTTAGCTCTGCCTCTAATACATCAATGCAAATGTAAACTTTCGGTAAGTGTAAGTACATGGAAAGGGTATAGGATTTCAAAGCAATCATAACAGGTTACATTACTTTTGAGGAATCCATCTGTATTCAATCCTTCTCCTAATGTTCCCTCTCCCTGACAACTCTCTTCAGCTGGCTCGTATCACTATTTGAATGTTTTGTGCCGTGCCTCTGAAGAACGCTTTCAACATCTATTAGGAGGAAAACATTAAAGGAACATGGAGTCTAACAAAAAAACCTGGTCACTTCTGATCTGGGAGGGGAGGCTGCTTTAAAAGGGATACAGGCACACTCAGCAATTTGAAATGTCAGCTAAAACCCTCACATATCAAGCTCCATGTGCTGATAAGGGCGATAAAAGGAAAGGTGAGCATTTTAAGTTAGACTTCACAATAATTCCTGCAGACTTCCAGAATTTTATTTTATTTTTTTAGACAGAGGGAGCAATGAACATTTTTGAAATGAACATAGAACATTTCGCACATCGCAGAAATAAAGCTGCACGTCTCTTCTGCAGCTCTCAGTTGCTCAACCTTCAAAATAATCACATAGGGAACAATTACAATAGAGATCACAGCGACCCAAGTAAGTCAACCTGACCAGCTGCCTTTTCTTTGCATAAAGCCCTCCACTGATCTCTGTAAATTCTGGTAATGCTGACAAGAGCCAAAACTGTTGTAGAAAACCAGCAAGCATCCCCTTAGGGCTTCCTTCTCCCTGGTCAGAGTTTATTTTGCGTGTCGTCTAGACTGCATCCCATCCCCAAATCTCCCACTCCTCCAACCAAGACCAGCACACAGCAGTTGGAACATTAGCACTGTCAGATCTTGGAGCTTCAATGTAAGTGAGAAGTGAGGTCCTCTTCAGTCCTCTTGCCCTAGCTGGAGTTCTCACTGCATCACGAGTCCCTAAGGGTATCCTTTTCCTTCCAGCCTGGGATCCTCAGTCTCCTTCACACAACTTCACCTGATGGCTATTTCAATTTTAAATCAAAGATGCAAAGTCTCCAATTTTTGCCAACTATACTACTCTTTGCTCTATGCAAAAAACGTATGGCTGGCATGCTCCAGGGAAGAATTGCATCACCTTCAGCACCCACAGTGGGAGGAAGATACCATAGATCCCGCCTGCAAAGCCAAATCCACAAGGCACTCCCTTTGGTTCCCAACAATTACGTACCTCCCTCATTGATGTCATTCATCAAGCATGGAAAAAAAAAAAAAACTAAGGCAAGAAGGAAACTTCCTTGGAGATGAAAGGCCTCGAGGCAACTAATTTCTGTATAATTTAAATTTTCACTGGAGGGAGTAAGTTGCACAATGCTCTATTGGACATGGTCTTCCCAAGTCTGCTAGCAGTTCCAGTGTGGCTGGAGCAGTTCCCAGTCTAACCAGGAAGGTGATCAGATCCATCAGTTTTCACTGCTATCATCTTCTCCAGCTCTAGCGCTGAATTTGTATGACATGGACACTTCTCGAAAGATAATTTTTACTCAAAAGAATTGAAGTTGTGATAGAATCCAGGCAGGATGGCAGTCCTCCTCTTGCAAGGGTCCTCCACCTAGCTGACCCTGAGGTAAGTGCATCTCCAAAATCCCTGGTGGCATGGCAAGGCACCTCCAAACCCCTGCACTACCAAGGAAGCAGCTGTTTCAGACACTAGATTAGTAAACCCAAGAGATAAGACTCATGAAGCTGACAACCACAAAACCCCAATGCATTCTGCTTACATTCCTTCTAAACTGCACTTCCAGAACATTTCCTCCCATGACATATTCCGTACCTACGGTCATCACGGTTTGGGTGAGCAGCTTCGTTTTTTACGTGGGAGAAATCCCATTTTCTAGACAGCTTGAGCCATGAGGCAGCTGATAACCACCCAAACTTCATGAGCTGCCTTGGAAAGCTCCGAGCTGCAGCAGACGTGGGGATGTTGGCAAGTCCCAGGGAAGGGCACTGCAAAATGGGCTCTGCAGAAACTCAAGATCTCTCAGCAGGGCCGATGGCAGGTTGAGCAGCTGCGATGCCCTCCCTCTTGCACTGCAGCAAGGAACCTCGCAGCAGGGCATGATTCTTCCTTTTCTTTTTTGGAGGGTGGTGGTTGAGCTGAGGGATGGTGCCCAGAGACTACAAACCAGGGCTGCA